TCGGCGAGCCGCTCGCCGAGCCGCTCGTGAACAGTGACGAGCCGAGCGGGCTCGGCTCGTCTAGTCCATGAGCCCGCTCGGCTCGTGCTCGGGCTCGTTTTTTTACGAGCCCGAGCGGCTCGTGGGCGTGAACAGTACGAGCCGAGCGGGCGAGCCGACGAGCCGCTCGGCTCATTTGCCACCACTACCACCACCACGCAACGTTGCCTTTACATAGACATACACAAAATCGGAGCTTTTAGAGCTTCGTTAATGCTTGGCTGTCGAGCTTGAACAGATCTAAAACCTACGTGATTAAATTGACTCTGGTGGCATTCAACATTACCAGTAGCAATAACAATCCTGGGCCACAAGGCAAGATGAAGAAATTATTAGTTAACAAACGGCATGGAGCCCCAGTTGGATCCAATAAGGATCTAAAGAAACCCTGCAATGGATTTCTTGATAATGGAAATTTAGAAGTTGTGAGTTCAAATGTTCAATTGATTGTGAGGGTATGTTAAAAGAATGCGGCAGATTTTGACGAAATTGATGAAGCACAAGAACGGGTGGATATTCAACAAGCTTGTTGATGCGGCCGCTTTGGGGCTTCATGATTATCATCAAATTGTGAAGCAGCCGATGGATCTGGATACAGTGAAGTCGAATATGGCAATAATGAGGTGTCTTTACTTTGCGTGGTGGTGGTGATGGGTGAGGTGGTGGAGAGTGTAGTAGCATGGCTCTTGAGGAAAGAGATGGGAGAGGTGGCGCCGAAGTTGTGATCGGAGTGGTGGTGCCGACATTTTGGGCGAGATGATAATTGGATTTTTTGTTTTTGTTTTAATTATTTTATTTTTGTTTTTTTTATATAGAAAAAATATAAAATTACCTTTTTGCCCTTTAAAAATTAATCAACATTGGTATATGTGGTCAACTAACAGAAAAAAATAACGATTTCTGTCAATTGGGATTGAAGTTGCGATTTTTTAAAGGTTATTATCTTTGGTGGCACAGATGAAATGTTTGGATAAAGTTCACATAAAGGTGAAATGTTTGATATTGTGGCTGCAATTTTTCCATATTTAAATCTACCTCCCTATGTGCCTATTTATAGGCCCCAAGCCTTGTCTTAGCATAAATAAATTAAGTCTTAATTTGTTATAATTGCACATATAGTACATGAACTTAAATCACAATTATAAGTAAGTTCAAAACTTTTCAGAGTTACATAGGTACCTCATCGGACATATATTGTTAAAGGTTCAATAATTAGATCATTTTTAGTCGACCATACATTATCAATCTAATTACTATTTTTTTCCTTTTCCACTAAAAGTAAAAGAATGCACCATCAAAATATATAATACCACGGAAGCTAATATATATCTATAATACTTTTATCTAACTTGTCGTATATATATTTTTTGGTAATTAGTACATAACGTCTCCATATTTTATTGTTATTGTGGAAAACGTCTCCACATTTTATTTTTTGATATTTTCACCCTTATTTCCACATTTCATTGTGCAAAAGATCATTTTCACCTATTTTCCCAATTAACAATTATGAAATGACGAATATACCCCCCTCTTCAAATAAAACAAAAAGAAAAAGAAAAAAATTAATTGCAATCACAGTTCCATTTTTTTTTAAAAAGCGCAAATAAATTATTAAAAGGGTAATTAATACATAATGTCCCTATTTTTCACCATTATTGCGAAAAACGTCCATACCTTTCATTTTTTTGTTGACATTTTGATCCTTAATTACACATTTGATTGTATAAACCATCATTTCCATCAATTTCCATCCAATTTTTCAATAAAGAACTGTGAAATAATGAATATATCATCATATTTGAATAAAAAAGAACTGTGAAATAATGAATATATAATCCTATTTGAATAAAAAAAACATAATTTTTAAATTTCTAATTCTTTCATAATTTATTTGGAATTCGTTTGCATTTTTTAATTTTTAAATAAATTTAATTGGGACTCGTTTGCCCTTTTAAAAAAATTATTTTTAATAATTTATTGGGGACTTATTTGCATTTTTTAAAAAATTTTGGAAATATGATTGCAATTAATTCTTTAGCTTTTTTATTTAAATAGGAAGGTATATTCGTCATTTCACAGGTTTTATTGGGAAAATGGATGAAAATGGATAGAAATGATAGTTTACGCAATCAAATGTGTAATTAATGGTGAAAATGTCAAAAAAATGAAATGTATGGACGTTTATCGTAATAACGGTGAAAGATATTGACATTATGTACTAATTACCCTTTTAATAATTTCTTTGTGACTATTTGCGCTTTTAAAAAATTTTTGGGACTGTGCTTGCAATTAGTTTTTTTTCTTTTTGTTTTATTTAAAAAGAGTGGTATATTCGTGATTTCATAATTTTTAATTGAGAAAATAAGTGAAAATGACATTTTGCGTAATAAAAGGTGAAATAATGGTGAAAATGCCAAAAAATGAAAAGGTATGAAGATTTTTCACAATAACAATAAAAGGTGGGAACGTTATGTGCTAGTCCCTCTATTTTTTATATCTTCAACATAGATTAGAAATTAGGTATGAGCATAAATGACCATTTTGTTCCTTTAATTATTCTAACTGACTCAAGTATCATTTTTCTCAATGGTCCTGTAAACTAAAAACAGATGTAGAAGTTTAGTCATCACTAAACATTGGTCTCGAATTTATAAATGTTCAACGATCACTCTACTCATTTTTTAGGGTGACAATTCTCAACTAGGATTTGTGTTCTCTACTTCGCTCACTCTCAAGTTCCCAATTTACTGAGATATGTGATCAAATAAATTGATCTTATCCATAGAGAATCGAAGAATTATTAAAATCACGAAAGATATGCACAATCTTGTCCATGGATTTAGATGGAATACTAGCCTATGATATGGAATTCAATTCTCGCACATCATGTCATATAATTAAACTTGACCATGTTCCGTTCGATATACTCGAAGAGTACTAATATCAATGTCAACCATTTCTATGATGAAAATAAATCACTATCCCGAAAGGTAAGTAAGTCAACATTACACCTTTCCAGTAAAAGGTCCAACCTTCGTACATTAATTGTGAATAAATTATTTATGATAAAAAAAAAATTTTTTAAAAAAAAAAAATAATAATAAATTCTAATTTTTTAAAAATTTATTTGGGACTCGTTTGCACTTTTTAAAAATTTGGGACTACGATTGCAATTAGCTCTTTATTCTTTTCATTTAAATAGGAGTGCATATTCGNACTGCCATCAGCAGGTGTGTCTTCTAACCATACGGCTCGTTATCAGAGGCGTAATACATTCGATTCTTCAAATAAAAGCATTTACAAGTTTAGAGAACAAGGTCAAATCAACCATGATCTCCCAATTTTTTACCTCAAGATTAACTTAAGTTTTCTAACAATAAAGCAATTACATTTCAAGAGCTTTGAAGGCTTTTTTCTCATTATTGGTACATAGTATTCCCTACTGAATCAAAAATATTGTAGGGCTTATATTTTGAAGTATTTTCATCACATTATAGAAGCCATAAAACTATATATGCACAACATGCAAGGCACATATGGAAAACTAGTTTAAAGAAAAGAATGTTAATTGATATTGTAAGAGCTATGCTAAAATGTATTTTTATACTTAAAAGCCAACTTTTACCATTTGATTTATTCAGAGTTCTTTCATAGATATTTACACATTTCTTTGAGAAATATAAGCAAAAGGTTTTAAAGAAACTAAATTCAAGTCAACTCCATTTTAGATTAGGCATTCGTCTAGTCTATTGCAAGAACATTTTATATTTCTTTATTTAATATGCGATTGTTATTGACACTATATTTTCCTCTTGATATTGCATCACTTTTAATTGCATTAAATTTCTTCAATTTTTGTTTATTATTTTACTTATGTCGTCATTTTCATCATATTTCTATCTTTAACATTATATTAATTAGCACATTTTGTCACTAGTTACGATTTCTATTCAAATATTTTGTTAGCGTACGTTGAAATAAGGGACAAATATTTTGTCACACTTTTGTATTTATTGTTTATGAGAGACAAATAAGTCATTGTATTGTTAGTATAAACAAGTCCTTTTTATGTCATTTTAAAGAGCTTTTTGGTCCGAAATAGGTATCTATTATAAAACGTGCAAATTAATGAAAGTTTAATGATAAGAACACGACATAAAAAATTGAGAACATAAGTGCAACTTCAAACGAACTTTTAAACCTTTAGTAATTAGTTGTCTAATAAAATAAAATCGGGCTTTTTACTACGGGCTTTGAGTCCAGATCCAATACGTAATTCATAGATGAGAAAATTACCTAAAACTTTTCTTTTCAAGATTACAATTCAAAAATAAGGTAATAAAGTTTACAATTCAAAATTCAGATGGTAAATAGGATTATTAATTGTAATTAAGACACCACACCGATTAATCACAATCCCAACACCCAATTCTCTCTGCTCTCTTTCCTAGCACCCAATTCTCTTTGCTCTCTTTCTCTCTATCTCTATCTCTGTCTCTCTACCACAGCACCCTTATCTTTCAATTGCTACCTCCGCCGCGAGCAGTAGCACAACAAGGCACCACTACCATAGAATTGATGGTGGCTGAAGGAACAAAAGGGAGTCAAACATTGCGGCTTTAGGGAAATTAAGGCTGGGAAGGAGATATATACACCTAAAGAGGCAGGAGCTTGTAGGAAAAGAAAAGAATTGACGGTGGTGCTTGCAACAACAGTAAGTCCATGGGCAGTGGTGTGGTTGTGTGCGGGTTCTACTGCAGCGGCACAATCGTGCCTGATTTTTGGGGTGATGTTTCATTTTTGATCTATAGATTTTAGTGGCCTTGCGGTGGTGCTTGGGACAGCGGTAAGTCCATGGGTAGTGGTGTGATTGTGCGGAAGTTTTGCTGCAACGGCACAATCGTGCCTTTTTTTGGGCGTGATGTTTCATTTTCGATTTATAAATTTTGGGGGTGGTTTTGCAAATTATGGTGCAGGTAGTGGTGGTGTTGATGGCGGTAGTGAGATTATTTTGAGAATTCCAGCATTCTGTCTAAATTCATCAGGTTAATGCCAAAACTCAAATTCCACCAAATCTTCACATTCAAACTTAATTTTGAATCAATTGATTTTTAGGGAAAATGATGAAGATTGATTTTAGTGGTCTCCCGGCCTCAGCCCCGCTTTGTGGCGACACGGATAAATTGTACAATGAGATCTCGACCAAATGTGTTTATTGTGATCAATTGTGACTTGAAATTGTGGAAATTTTTTGAAAGTCGCCTGAGCGAATGTCAGGGTGATCGTCAAAATAGTCGTTGGAGCGGCCACCAGAGTAATCGGAGGAAAGTCACCAGAGTGATAGTCGGAAAAGTCACTGGAGTCGATAGCCGTCTCCGGCGGAGAGGTGGAGGAAGGTGGGTGGGGTAGGGGGTGGCCTTATGGGCGTGAGGTAGGAATAATTAATTATATATATTTAATTTAAATTAACACCTGAATTTTGAAATAATTTAATAAGTTTGTTAATTTTGAAATGTGATTTTAATAGGCAGAATTTATGTATTGTTCCCTTCATATATGGACTTTTATTTCTTTTGGGCTCAGCTTGAGTCTATTTTTGATGTTTTGAGAGTTTCTTTTAGTTTGCATAAAAAAATCATATTAGTCTCACATAATATATAAATTAAAGATTTCTTAAACATTATAAAAAAAATCATATTGGTCTCACATAATATATAAATTAAAGATTTCTTGATACATAGCACTTATGATTTGATTGTTAGACCTTCTTAAAATATGTCTCAATCATATTATTGGTTTCTTCTTGAAATTAATGTCACTTTGGATTTCATCTATAAAATTTTACAATGATGAGAAGTTTTGGCTCTTGTTTGGTACACATTATTTCAAAACTCATTTTCAACCACACATTTTTCAATAAAATAATATTTTTCATCGCATCAATAACTTTACCTTATTAACAACATATTTCTCATCATATCAATATTTAAAATACATCAATTCTTCAATAATATACATCAAACACACCCTTGGTGTGGTTTTTCATGGTGCAATAAAAAATTAAATATTCATGAAATAGAACAATGTAGGCAATCATACTACATTGTCAGAAAAAAATTGATGAAAAATTTGACATAATGTCACATAACATTTTATTATTGGACTGTTTAAAACACGATCAATTTTTTCATTCAATCATCTTCTGCCAATTCTTTCTGGTAAAGCGGCATAATTCTAATGTAGTACATTGAACAATGTGCAATTTATTTTTGGGGAGGAAAAAAAAAAGAAGAAAGTAACTAAATTCATGAATTTTATCCCATGTTATATTAATAATACATTGGGTCATGTTAGTTGAACGATCGAGGTTGACACCCACTCACATGGGGGGTCCATTTAAATTTTTTTTTAAATATGCGGACTCCGCACACATGTGAGGGATTATCAACCGAAGTTGTCAACCTCGACTGTACAAATATAATTTTCTTAATACATTTTTCTCTTTCCTCTTTTCAATCATACATTTTTAATAAAATAATATTATAAGTAAACCAAAAATTTTCCTTTCTTTTTTAACCACATATTTTTTTAAATACCACTATTACAAAATACATTTTTATCCAAAAATCACATTATAATGGGGCTTTGTTGGTTAGACAAATGCACATGATTGTCAATTTGTGAAACGGGAAACTAAGCCCCCATTTTATTAGCTAAAAATTAGATTTCTAGTAATTTTTAATAAAAATTGATGAAATGTACGGTTGAAATGCTGACAAAAATTATGGAGCCCATAAAATTCATGATTGAAATTAATCATTACTTAGAACTTAGATTTTTATCATTTTTTTAGCTACACTAAATAGGAGCTAAATACAATGTACAATATGAGAAAATAGAAAGAGTACCTTCATAAATTAATAAGTTATTAATTAATCGATTTACTAATAGGTAGTTCATTAATCAATTATTTAGTATTTGCTGAATTAATAAATTTTTCTCGAGATGGAAGACTATTAATTTATAGACTTTGACTCTAGGGGAGAATCCTTCATGGCCAAACTAGGGATGGCAACAAGGCGAAATAGGGCAGATTGGCATTCCAATTCAGTCGGGTATTTTTATTATCTTGTCTCACCCCAGACCCAGTTAAAGCGACACAGAACGAGACGAGATCGGGGTGGGGCGGAGCAAGTCCCTTGCCCGTTTATCTCCCCATTTATTTTTATTTTTTTGTTTTATTTAAATATTTTATTTTTTACTTTTTTTATATATCTTTAGTTAATGAATGTTATTACTTTTTTTTTCCAATTTGTCAAGAACTCTTTAAAAATAATGATAAATTTTTTATTTTTATTTGATAAAAAACTTAAATTTGAAATTAATTTTAAGCAGGGCGGTTAGCGGGGTGGATACCATGTTTATCGTACCTACCCCGTACCTGTTTCGAGGCCCTGTTCCGCTTTCGAGATAGGGTTTCGCGGATAACGGGTTGAATGGATTTTCTTGTCATCTCTTGGCCCAACTAGATTATTGAATTTTGATAATTATCCAAGAAACGAAAAGTTAGCTAGATGGAGATGCTACCTTGAGGAGGAGAGCTACTTCTTGAGCTATTAGCCTTAACTAATACTCAGAAAGGTTCTTCCAACAAGAGCGCATGAGAATTTTTGAAAAGAGCGACTCTCATAAAACATGATTATTCCATGAATAGCATTACTCTGTTTAGATTCTTTTAATTAAAAAGATAAGAAATGATCAATGATTTATCTTAATCTACACAAAAATTTGTAATAAAGAAATAACTATTTAATTTGCACAATCATGCGGGACATAATGCATTAATGATGTGTTTGAGCCACATTATTTTGGAATAATGTATTCTGAAATGATAGATTGATAGAAAATTTGTGGTTGAAAAAGAAGGAAAAGTTATTGATGTGATGGAAAAAATTATTTTATTAAAGAATGTGTGGTTGAAAATGAGAATTGATTCATAAAAAATATTTTTAACCATATTGTAAAATAATTTTGCAAATGATTCATAACTTTTCATATTTTTAAGTACATATTTTCCAAAAATATCATTTTTCACAAAATCTATTATAAAGAATCTACGTCAAACATATCCTAAACCTTGGAACTTCTCCAAATGAGCTTTCGAAGTGAAATATGTGGTCTAAACTTAAAGCAACTTTTATCAACGCCACATTTTATAGAAATAATTTTTTTAAACTTTTAATCATATATTTTTATCATTTTTTATCAGGGTAAATAGCACAAAACATCTATATCTTTCAATATCATTGTACAAAACGTCCATACCTTACATTTTTTGGTATTTTCACCCCTACCTTCCATCTTTCATTGCGTAAAAGGTCCTTTTAAACCATTTTTCAATAAAATGACGATTTTACCCTTCTATTCAAATGAAATAAAAAGAAAAGAAAAGAAATAATAAACAACTAATTGCAATCATAGTGCTAAATATTTCAAAATATTACAGATAAGTCCTAAATTCTCTACCACCACCAACCTATAAGTAACTACATTTGGCAATGTGATTGGATGTACCATGCAAAAGAACTATCATTTAAACTTCTTGTTCACATTGCCATGCACAGGGATCAAAGGATGATGCATTACATATTATTTCAAAGCCAACCATATTCTCAAAAAAAAATAAAAATTAAAAAAAAAATTCAAATGAGAAATATTATTTCATGACCAAAAATCTATGTGATGAGAAGAATTTATGATAAGATGTTGGCTTGACGCGTACAAGTGCAAATGCATGCAGAATAGCGTGTCCACATGCAGAATCAAAGAGCTTTGTTCTTAAAAGTAATGGTCTAGCAATGAATTGAACGAGTTTAATAAATGATTCAGCTAAACCATTTTGTATATTAGCATGAGCAACATGATGTTCGGCTTTTATCCCAATTGGCATACAACAATCATTAAAACGCATGTGAGTGTAAGTTCATCAGCATTGTTAAGACGAATTGTCTTGATCGGATAATCTAGAAATTGTGCTCGTAATCCAATAATTTGAGCAAGTGTTCATAAACATGCACCTTAAGGATGGATTATAGCATAATATGAAAACTGGTGTTATATAATCAATTTATGTTCAATTTTTTTTCAGAGTAACAAGAATAATTATTTCTAAGCAGTAAACAAATATGAATAGTTACCATAATGTCTATCAAAGAAATAACCAAGCAAGAGATGCAAAAGAATTAGCTTATCATGAATAATATGTCTAATTTAGAATAATCTGTCCATATCTTAATTTCAATAGATAATCAAATAAAAGAAAAGTGTTTTAGCCTCTCATTAGTTCATTCCAGATTAAATTAGCCTCATTCAAATTGAAAGCTAAAACACCAGCAGCAGGCAAAGTTGTTCAAATGCCACTTGAAGGTGCATAAAGACAAAGCTGCACAAAGGAAAGGAGAAGCACAATAAATAAATAAGTGCTGCCACTCCAAAGAAGAAGAAAAAAGAAAAACACAAATAAAATGATTCAATACTCGCATTATCACCTATTTATAAAAAGGGTAAAATGGTAAATAGCACATAACCCAACCTTTCAATGTCATTGTGCTAAACATCCATATCTTTCATTTTTTAGCATTTTCACCCCCTACCTTCCATCTTTCATTGCCCAAAAGATCATTTTCAACCATTTTTCCAATAAAATGACTATTTTACCCTTCCATTCAAATGAAATGAAAAAGAAAAGAAATGAAAAAAAATGAACAACTAATTGCAATCATAGTCCTAAATTTTTCAAAATATTACAAATAAGTTATAAATTATCCACCGCCACTACTTTCACAGCCCCACCAAGTCGCCACCTATCCACATAGCACCACCTTCTAACCACCACGCCCACCGTACTCCACCACCACTATAGTTGCAGTTGGTTATTCATCTTTTTCTTTTTGTTTTATTTGAATAGGAGGGTAAAATTGTCTTTTATTGAAAAAATGGTTGAAAGGACCTTTTGTGCAATGAAAGGTGGAAGGTAGGGATGAAAATGCTAAAAAATGAAAGGTATGAACGTTTTGCACAATGACATTAAAAGGTAGAGATGTTCTATACTATTTACCCAAAATTTTGTTAACTGAAGCAACGCGAATATAAAATTCCTGAATTTGTAATATGTACATTTTATCATTTTTTTATTAAAATTTGTTAAAACATTCATAAAAAATTTTGTTAACTGAAGCAACCCCAATATAAAATCCCTGAATTTGTAATATGTACAATGGAAAACGTTTATGAATCACTTTTATCTGTCAACAAGAACTGAACAGTAAAATGACATGAAAAAGGAATGTCTGTCTGCCCCCTATAGGGCTAGACAAAAGAACCTATGACATGCCGATGATGAAAATTCAAATGATCGAGAAGACGCTATTATTCTTAAAAATTAAGACCTCTGCCTATCCTTGAAAGGGGTAATCTTGATGACCAAACCTGGAAAAACATCATCGGGATCTTGAATATGTGGATTCTCCTCGACGATATAAGGATCACCACACTTTTCACTTATAGTGTTCAAAGTCTCCCCTTCTCTTACAACATAAATTTCATCGCATGGCCTCTCCACATGATCCTTCTGCATCTGCTGCACTGTATAATATTCTCCATCGCTCGACTCGCAGCAGCTTAAAACCAGCATTAATGCCAAGAACAGTGCACAGTACCCACTAATGGCCTCTGCCAATGCTATTGATGATGAGTTAATACGCGACATATCGGATTTTTTCGATAATTTTCTTGTTCAGAATTCTCTGGATTTTATTTATTTATTTATAGGGTTTGCATATATAGAGGATTAGAATTGAAATTTTTGAAGTGGAGAAAATGGTTTCGTTTTCAACTGGTAGTTGGAGTAGGTGCAAGGTCCTGTTTTATGGATGGACGGAGTTGAAACGGTTTCTTCATTGTGGTAGGTAACTGTCAAACAGTGGAGTCTACTAATTGGCATCATTAAGATATGGAGACGACTACGACTTGACCCTAATTACGTCTTAAAACAACTAAAGCTTGACAAAGATAGACCTCAAACAAATTTCTTTTATTTCAAATTAATCACACTTATTGGAATAACACGACTCTCTCCGCTAAACAGTTTTTGCTGTCAATTTGCTGTCCATCCAATTAATTAATGACACTTCAATTTTAAATTAATATGTAATTTCAAATTTATTTCATTACTAATTCACCAAATTGATAACATGTTAATTTAAAATGACATGTCAATAATTAATTGGATAAACATAAAAAATTGGATAACAGACATCAACTCTGAGCGGAGGCTAGTGGTGATCAACCGTGTAACAATTATATTTTGCTTTCTCAAAATTCCTTCGCCCCAAACGCTAAGATCTTGACTTCGCTACTGAGTTGACAAAATTTGTCTATCATTCTATCTAGTATTATGGAATTTAACATACTAAGGATTTGTTTGAACCCCATTATTTATAATAGTGATTTTTTGGAGAATATGTGGTTAAAAAGTATTTTGAATTTATGTGTAAAATTATTTTGTACAGAGAATGTGTAATTAGAAATGACTTTGAAAAAAAAAGGATTTTTTAAAGATTGGAGATCAAATAGTGACTACATGTAATATAGTAAAAAATTAAAAGATGGGGACATTTAAATCCTAGAAGAATCAGTTTAACTACTCAAAAGGAAATAAAAGTCAGTATAACTGCCTTATTTAATGGGTTAAGAGGAAAAATCAAATGTTTGACTTGGTTTTTCATGCTCTAACTTTTAAGTAGAGTTTGTGTCCTAATTCTTGTCTTTTTCTTCTCGTCCTCTGCTTTTTTAATTCTTAAATGCAAGATTTGACTTGAATGAGTTTTTGGTTATGGAAATTTCATGCACGAAAATGAAACCGTCAATGCTGGTGGTAGTCATTAAATTGGCACGCTAGTTTATTAGTAATTGTTATGATATCATGCTGGCGTTTATTGTATCATATTAATATAGCGTTTGGTGACAATTTTTTATCATTTAAACTCCATACGTTTTGATGCTATAATAGAAAAGGAAAAAAAAAAAAAAAGGAGGATGAACCGCATCCTTAACGGCCCCAACCTGCCATGCCCTGTCCTGCCCTGAGCGTCGATGAATGAGGTAAATCGCAGGTTATGCCTCTAAGGATGAGCACTCTAATGAACCCCTAAGCGTGAAGGAACTTCTCCACATGAGCTCGAGACCATTCCTCCCGAAGAAGTCTTTCTCATTGAACCTTGCGTCTTCTCCTGGAGCCTGAGGTAGGCGTATTAAGTGGAGCAGCCTAAACGGTGGCCCTAGGGTTGGATGTATCCAGGGTCAAGGCATACTAAGCTAGAGCTTGAGGATTCAGTTTAATTGATAGCGGGAAATTGACTCTGTAGGGACGCTAATGTTTGATTAATAACATACAAAAGGGACCTGAAAGTCATATGCTGCTACTCTAGTCTCGCTTCGCTTCTTTAAAGGGCTTGAAATAATTCAATCTGATAATAGATTTCATAAAATATCAAATATAAAACCAAGGCTCAAGCTAGAGATGATATGAACATTTATCAGTGAGGTGCCTAATATTATCTCAGATAATAAAGAGATGCTACTCAGATCGAAGGACCAGTAGTTGCTTTAAAATTGGAGTTTGCACGCTACAATTCACTATTATCTTTTGTGCCGTTCTGAAAAAAATATTATTACTTAAATCACGGGTCTATGATTGGAAAATTACATTTTTTTCGTGTGAAAGTAGACTAATAGATAGACAGCGGAGGTGCAACATGAGCATATTCAACGTTGCATTGCATTAAGTTGAAAAAAAGACTATTTTAATGATGGGGCCCCATAGATTCACCCATATAAGCCGCAGCTGAAGTTGAAAAGTAAGTTTGCGAAATTGAAAAGAGGTCGCATGCGGCGTTAGACTTCAATACACGATTACACATTTTTCGTTGAAGTTGGGTTTTCCATTTCTTCACAGGGACAGCAGGGTAGTAGTTTATCATTTTAAATTAAGTAACTGATTCATAAAGAATTAAAAGAATTTTTAATACATAAATATAACATTGAATTATAAATATACAATTCAAGAACTCGATGGAGGAAAAAATATTAATTTAGTAACGCAAAACAATATTTTTTTTGGGTCTAATTGGCATGGAGTATGTGGTAGTTATATATAGACAGATTTTTTTTGTGATCAAGCAAGCAATTATTAACCTTTTACCAAGTTATCAATTTTGACGCAGTTCACGTTTACAAAAGAAGGAAGAAATTAGTGCTATTTTTCCTTTGATCCTTGATTTTGACATTGCAACTGGAAAATAACCTGAAATTAGATTGTTAGTTAATTTACAATTATTCCGAGTTGAGAGAATCATGCTATTTGTACATTTTCGTTGACAACACGATGAGAACCATAAGACAAAGGCTAGCAAGAATCTGTTGATTGTGGAAGAAGGATCAATGATGAGATCGCGAACAAAGAAGATCAAGGAAGCCATGTGATTACTTATTCAACCTATGTGGGTCGAGTCTTCAATTGCAACGAGCAAAATATCAGGGGCCTGTTTGTTTTTGATTCTCAAATTCTACAGTAGATCAACTCTCATTTTTAACCACACATTGTTCAATAAAATAATATTTTCTATCACATCAATAATTTTTTTCTTTTTCAACAACACATTTCTCATCATATCACTATTCAAAAATCAATTCTTCCCTCAAAAATCCATACCAAACAAGCACCAAGTTTCATGTTGAATATGGAAGATGAACCAAGATTAGTGTCCTTAATTCAAACTAAGTTAGAAGAAGCGAAGCCTAAAGTGTAGTTAGAAGGCAGCGAGAGAGCGCAAGCAAAATAGGTCGCGAACACTATAGATAGGTGATCTTTGTAAATTGTAAAGGGCTTTGGATGGTCTTTTTGAACATTGATTCAAATATACAAGAATACTCTCACTGTATCTTCTTGCTTGTTCCACATTTTGTGAGTTTTGATCTTAGGTTATCGACACTTTTTTTGTGATTGTTTGTTAGTGCAATCATTTTGGTCACTATTGTCGGTGTTCAAATACTTTTGTATTGCGTAGTAAAGCATCCCTCGCATTCACGCTCTCCCTTTCTCCGTCCGGTTGTCCTATCAAAACGTTCCGGAACTTGCTAATTGTGATGGTAGTGGCAGTGCATTGCATGTGATCATATTTGTGATTAATTGTGTTATTTGTGACTATATTTATTGTTTGTGACCATACTTTGTGTGATAGGTGAGTATTTGTGACCAAATTTGTTTTCAATTAACCAAGTCATAATCAATCACAATTAACACAAAATTAATCAAAACCAGTTACAATAAACACATACTTGATCACGGAAGGCCACCACAAACAAATTTACACATACCACATACCAACAACACAATCCACCATCATCACCACCAATGAACCACCATAACAATTTTCAACTCATATTATCATGGACTAACCGTGTGACTGTGTATGTAACCAAGTCACACATAATCAAAGATTTAGTCACAGAGAGTAACACTAAAGATGGAGTTGGTCACACCTTGTTGCCGCATCCACTACCCCGTCAAGAACCAAAGGTGCACCACCTCATCGTGAGCACCAAAATCATAACCATCGCAACCTACACCAGCACCGATAGAACCACCACAAACAGTCATCCCAAAACAATAGATCTGATAAAAAAATCACCCATCGCTAAAATTTGATAAAAATAAAAACAAAAAGGTGCAATCAGAGCCTTAGGGGCCGTTCTCTTTGTATTTCAATTTTCTGTTTTGAATTTTGAATTCGTTTTGTATTTTGTGTTTTCAGTGTCTGTTTTGAAATTGTTGAAAATGCGTTCTTCTTGTCATTTTGGAAAACAGTTTTTGAAAAACAACTTCAGAAAACGCGTTTATTTTGAAATTTTGAGAAAATTTTTTAATCCTATTTTATTCAAGAAATGTAGTTATTCAATAAATTTTAATGGTTTAATGTTAATATAGTTGAAAATAACATATAAGTTTTGAATTTGAACCAACATCGAAAGTCTAAATCGTATATACACTTCACCACTGCAATTTCCAATTTTCAAGAATATGAAGATCAAATTATGAGAATAATTGGCTTGATGATTGAGAGAAGAATAAAGTAAAATATATTTAATTTTACATACGGTGAAAAACTGTACAAAGGACCGATGAATATATAAAATGTTTTAGGCTATTCTAAAAGAACATATATACACAATGCATATACTTAACAAAAAAATACAATTAATTCTAACTAATACAGAGTTCCTCTTTATCCATGGATGACTATGTTGCTGAGTCTTCAATTCATCTGTTTGCTGATTTTTCAAAAATTAATCAAAAACATCCTTCAAGGTAGTTTGGCAAATTTGAGATTAATTTCCTTGAAAAAAAATTATGGGAATTTTTTTTGTCAAGTCTCGGCATATCCTTGATCCCTATTATATCTTAATTCTGCTCTATGCCAATCATTCTAACTTTCATGTCTAATAGTTCAAGAGTACCATGTATCACATTACTGGCAATTTAAGGGTTAGTAATCCATTATCTATCATGTGCAAAATTACAGACAACTTTCTCTAAACAAAGAAAAATAAATAACTGCCATTATCTTATAATCACCATAAAATGTTTATTAAAAACAGTAACAATCTAACAAAAGTACCACGATAAACATAACTATGAAAAGAATAGGG